TTTGTTTCCTCTGGACACGAAAGAAAATCCGAATCTAAATCTCATAAAAAAAAAAAAAAAAAAAAAAAAAAAAAAAAAATTAATATCAGTGTGTGTGTTTCAGTCTTTATACACACTATAAACATTACGACACATGGACAGCTCAGCACACACACACACACACACACACTCCCAGCAGCGGCTAATGCTAGCCTCTCTCCTGGTGCTTCATCTCGTCCAATCAGACGCTGTCATCAGCCTGGCAGCAGCCAATCACACTCCCTCAAACTGTTTCCTGAGGTCGGCGGGAGGAAGGCCTCACCCGGCTGGGATGGGGCAACAGGAAGCTGCCGTTTCCTGGCAACCAGAGACAGTATTTAAGAAAAAATAAAAGCCTCCAGAAGAAAGAGGCGTGAAGACCCGTCAGCCAATCAGAACTGAGCTGTCCATGTGTCGTCATGTTTATAGTGTGTATAAAGACTGAAACACACACACACACACACACCCTGCTACGATGAAGATTACCGACATGATAATTATGAGATTTAGATTCGGATTTTCTTTCGTGTCCAGAGGAAACAAAAAACTGTCATTAATATCAGTGTGTGTGAGAGTGTGTGAGAGTGTGTGTGCTTGTGACGCCGTCCTCTGCGTGTGTGTGTGTGTGAGAGAGAGAGAGAAAGAGAGTGAGTGTGTGTGTGTTTTTCCACGGAAAGTTGCGGTGTCTTGCTGTAGCGTAGCCATGACGACTCGTGTTTACGCTGACGCCATTTTTACTTCGATTACTTTTGGTTTTGGAGGATTTTTTTGTGGACCGCCTGCAGCGACGGTTGCCTCTGCAACGGCCTGTTTGGATATTCTAATTATGCATCGCTCGTTTCTGTAAATAGACCAGAAGTCCAGAAAAGCAACTCCACACGCCGTGGACGTCACCCGTCTCTCATCTGCAGCAACCGTCCACACGCCCGTCTGTCCCCGTCCCGCAACCCGTCCCCGTCTCTGGGTTTCTCTGGTGCCATTCTCAGAAAACACCCCGGTCCTTAAGGAGCTCTGCAGGTCGCTCGGCATGAAACTCAGCTCACAGGTTTAAGGTGGAAAACCCCGTTGTGAAGGGTTTAAGGTAGAATGCTTGGTTGTTTCTAAACTATTTGAATCCGGCTCCTGTCCCTCGTCTCATTGGTTCCTCTGCAGTTACAGATTATTACCCCCAAAGTTTACAGGATACTTTCCAGAGCTGATAAATTATCTTTGAATTAAATGTTAATTGCAGACAAAAAAAGCAACATCTTCCATTTTTGCTGCTAAATTATTGACTAAAATGATTTATTCAGGTTCTTCAATCAGCAGATTGGTGCTACTTGCTATTCTAGCCACTCAACATGTCAGTGCTAGCTCTACACGTTAGCACTAATAGATTATCTTGTGCTAGCATAGCTTCACTGCTAGGCTAGCTCCTATTAGCACAACTAAACAGTTGTCTTTTCCAGTTTTTGAAGCAGAAATGAACCCAATGGCTCAAAAGGAGCAGCTTCCATGTTAGCAGATGTAGCTTGTGCGTCAAATTTACGTCCCTATCAGAAACACGCTAGGATAAACGTTCCGCTTCAGGACTTTGTGTGTAAAAATGTGATTAATAGCATTACATTTTAAAGTCCCAGCCCAACTGTACCACATCAGGATTCTCCTGCAAGGGACAGCAAGTTATTCCCCCAAATCTACAACTTTCGTTTCTTCAACGTTTGTTGCATTTTTTACAGAAATCACAGATTAGCTTTTTAACTGCCATTTCTGGAGCTTGCATTGTTGGTTTCAGCACTTTCGGGTCAGGAGAAAGTTAAAAGTGCTTAGTCATTGTTTTAAAACCATCGGGTAACCGATCAGTAAATTTCAGTAATGAAACCTCAAAGTTACGTTTGTGGAAAGTAACTTCGAATTTCACAGAAGCCTCTAAAACTTGGGAAAGTATGAACTGCTGCTGAGCATTTTAATGAACTGCAAAGGTAGAAAGTTGTAGTTTACATTCAGTGTTAAGGTGGTTCTGTTTGATCCATCAGAGGGTCTGAATACGACCTTGCTTCAAGGGCGTTCAGGCAGAGTTAAAATAGACTTGAAAAAGACTCACGTCTCGCCACGACCAGCTCCAGGCTGCAGTTGATCACATTCCAGCGGCTGCAACACCACGACTCTTATGCAACAGAAAAACTGTCAAATAAACCAACGAATCCATCAGAATCTGCTTGGATCACACGGATAATCTACGACTTTATCACAACACGATCAGCCAACAGCTCTTCTTTACGACGTCCTTTCAAAGCTTTTAGTTCAAATGTAAAAATGAACAACTAGAAACCAAGATTTTCAGTGACTGGTTGATGCTGTCATGTGTGATGCACTTCAATGTGGTTCAATGCTGAGTTCAAGTTCTGTAGGAGCTGTCGTAATTATCAGTTTTACCTGAAAACATGTAGCTGGATCTAAAAAAAACAAAACCAATCCAATCAGAAAGTAAACAAACAAACCCTGAACGTTTCTGATCCCACACAACCTGAACTCTGGTTTTAACGAGGAACTGAAACTAACAGTAGACGCCTCTTTGTTGCCTGTTCTGAAGTAGAGAATGATTTTGTGTTTTTATGTCGGTGTCAAGACTGTTGATGCAAAAACATTAAAACAATAAGAGCCCAAACCAGACAAACGCTTTGATCCCAGCAGCTGAACTCGGAGTGCACAAAGGGCTGAGGGCGGGACGCGCTGCAGAGGACGCCGCGTTCTGCAGAGGACGGATGCCGGCGCCGCGCTCTCCGGCAACCCAACTTCTACTGTCTAACTAAACTGGTGTCAAACGTCTGTGCAGTAAAAGTATTTAAGACATAAATAAATGTTTCCAGAGGTCATGCAAGGTCAGCCAGCCCTTTTAGTTTCTTCAAATCTAATTAAACTGGGTCAAACGTTTATGCAGCAAAATTTTTGTTTGTGCTGCTTTTGCAAACAAATGTTTTTGCTGCACAAATGTTGCCGAATCGATCAACACCAAATTTGTTGACCTGTGACCTCTGACGGCGGCGGCGAGCTGCCGGCGCTCTGAGGGTAACTGGTGCACTATGAAGAGTTGAGATGGAAACTGGTTCAGGACTGGACCAAGGGCTCTCCAGATGGCTCCATTAAACATTGAACAATATTAACGGTGAAGGTGGAAACGGAAGGCAGCGCGCTCTGAACAGAGACTGGTGGAAGATAGCACATCATGAAAGGTTAAAGGTTAAAGGATTTAGTTAGGGTTAAAGGTGAAACTGAGAAGCGGCGCACCGGAGGGCGAAGGCTGCTGTTTGAGGCCTCGCCTTGTTGCCGCCTGGCAATCTCAACTAACCAATCAAACAGTGTTATTTGTACAGAACTAACAGCTGCTAACTGACTGCTAACAGCTCTCTGTTGTTGTTTGTAATAAACTTCATTTTTCATCCAAACCACCAGCGTCTCGACTCAACTTGCTCTGGTTGTCTGCTTTCTAAATGTTTGAAGAAACCAAAACCACAAAAATCTGAGCCGAATACGACTGAAGAACTGGGATTTAGTTCCTCCAAAAGGATAATATCTGGAGGAATTAATATTTAATCCTAAATCAGTGTGAAAACATTTGGAAGTGTAATCAGGTTGGAGTGATGCATGCTGGGATACGATCTGATAGGAGCGGCTGTAAACCAATTCAACCAGTCGGGTACAAAGCCGGACCAGAAGCACGACTTTAACCCTGAAAACGCTGGAAGGAAGCATGGAAACAGGCCAGCAGGGTAGTTAAGGACACTGGAGATTTTTCACTGCAGTTTACATAATAAAATCCTCCTGGTATCAGTTAGAGCCCGCTGTATGGTTTTACAGTGTCATTCCTAATTTAGATAAGAGATAAGAGGAGCAGGTGTGATAACGACACCTGGACTTTTTCTCTTCCAGGTCCAAATATTAATCCATCAGATTAATAATCCAGCTAGAATGAGCCGGAATCATTCAGTCCTGTTGGTTTTCCAGATATTTTCTGGTTTTTCACAGTTTCTGATTATGATTAGAGGTTGGTCAAAGAAAGCTGAGCGTTATGGTGGAAATCCGACCAAAGTCCGGCCCGGCCCGGTCCGGCCCGGTCCGCTTACGTAAGTCCTGGAGCGGATCACGTGGACCGGAGCCAGCTTAAAGGATGCGGGACCCACAGCGGCGCCGGCCACTCTGCAGGACCGCGGCATGCAGAACATCATCGCCAGGAACGGGCTGGAGACCCCAGAGCCGCTGAAGGCTGAGGTCAAAGGTCAGTGGCTCTACAACAAGACGGGTCTGCTGGGTGAACATGTTAAACAACAGAACCGTTTATTTACGGCTCTTCTGACAGTTTTAGATTTATTAGATTTTTATTCTGACATAAAATTCAAAGCTGCAGTTTGTAACTTTTATTAAATATATTTTTTACATATTTATTTAAACTATTATGAAACAGATCAGTTAATAGATTAATCTCCTGATTAATTTCTATCTGAAGAAATGCACCGCCAACAACCAATCAGGGCCAGGAGGCGGGTCTTAGTGCTGTTCATCAATCATGGGTACACACTGCTAAATGTGTTAATGATGCAGAAACAACTTAATGTTACAGGAAAACCGTCTATCTGCCATCATCAGTGGCTATGCTAACTAGCCTCACCATTTACAGCAGGATCTGCTCGCTGCAGCGTAGCAGAGAGCCAACAGGAAGTGATTGGCTGCGCTAAGACCCGCCCCCTGGCTCTGATTGGTTGTTTCTAGTTAGCACTGGGAGATGAATTTTCTGATTTTCTCTCATTTTATCACAACAGTTTCTATAAACATATAAAAAACATTTTGATATATTACAGCTTTAATATCATCCTTCATATTCATTGATAATGTTTGAAAATCCTTTAACCAACACATCTAAATCCTAATCAGTGGGATTAGAAAAGGATTTAGCCATAATCTGAGACAAATTCCTTTACAGGATCAGATTTGGCAGCATGACATCACTTCCTGTTTTGTTTCCTGTTGTGCAGTTTACAGCCAGAGGGAATCAAAAGTTAGTAAAAGTTATTTTCAGGTTCAGTTTGGCTGCTAAATGTTTAAGAGCAAATTAATTACTAATGAAACTTATGTGTTGATTTGAGATCAGATCAATAATATTAATTTTCCTTCAGTTGTCATCATTAATTTTAGTTTATCAAGACGATAACATAAATACAACCAAACGCCAGATCGAAACACTCAAAAACAGCATCTTGACAGTTAATGAAAGAAGTGTTGTGTGCATGACCTTTGACCTCCAGGGTCGGTGCCGCTGTGGCTCCGGGGCACTCTGGTGCGGAACGGACCCGGACTTTTCTCGGTGGGGAACTCCGAGTACAACCACTGGTTTGACGGCCTGTCGCTGATCCACAGCTTCACCTTCCACAACGGTCAGCAGGGGGCGCCACTGAGACCAACAATCGATCAATCAATTAATCAAGCAATTGTGTTTGTGTGGCTCATTTCAGCAAAAAGACAAAAGTGACAAACATTCCTTCATCATCAATACACATTAAATTTGTTGGTCCATATTCCTTTATTCGTTAAAATAAAGCAGCTCTTTGTGAAAAGGACTCAGTGTTTCTGGACGTTAGTCCCAAGTTTCAGCGAGATTTTTTTGGGCTCTGCACCATTTCAGGGGAGGTAATGTACCGGAGCAAATACCTGAAGAGCGAAACCTACAAGAGGAACGTGAAGGCCGATCGGATCGTCGTGTCTGAGTTCGGCACCATGGTTTACCCCGACCCCTGCAAGAACATCTTCGCCAGGTAAAAACACCAAAACATCTTGGCCAGGTAAAACGCAAGAGCATCTAAATGTGATGATAAAACCCAACAAGCTGTTAAAATATTAAACCGCTGTCCCTCTAGGATTTTGAGATTGTTTTTGTGGATTTTGTAATCGCAGTCCCAGATTTTGTGGAGCTAATTTAGAAATATTTATATGGCATCTTTGCGATATTTGTGCTAAAGTATAAAGTTAGATGTAATTGTTTATTACTCTCTGTTTCCATCACAGACTATACACTGACATCAAGTCAGGGTATAGTCACAGACACACACACACACACACACACACACACACACACACACACGCACACACACACTGCCGGCAGTTTATATTAAACTCAATATTTTTGACAAATGTTGAGAAAAATTAGAAAAAATATGTTGATTTTGTGGATTTCTGAAAAACTGCCATAACTTTTTGATGTAATCTGGAGTCTAGAGGACCACATGAAAAGCTATGGCGGGCCAGATTTGGCCCCCGAGCCTCGAGTTTGGCATACTGCGCCCATTAGATCCCAGCATTAGCTTCAGGTTGTTTTTGAGTGAACAGACTACAACAGATTTTGAGGAATTGAGTCTATAAATCTCTTTAAAGATGGATTAAATTATTTTAGATCATCATTAAAACAAAAATCGATCCTCAACATTTTCTCTGCAAACCTCGTTACCAGGGCAATGACGCATTTCCGCAACATCATCCCAGATTTCACAGACAACAACCTGATCAACATCATCCGCTACGGTCAGGACTACTACGCCTCCTCTGAGGTCAACTACATCAACCAGGTCGACCCGTTGACCCTGGAGACGGTGGGCCGGGTGAGTCTCGACGCACCAAAGCTCTTTGACTCGTCTCACAGGACTGACACGCATCGTTTCCAGGCCAACTACAGGAACCACATCGCTCTGAACCTGGCAACCGCTCACCCTCACTACGACAAGGAGGGCAACACCTACAACATGGGAACCGCCATCATCGGCCTCGGACGGCCCAAATACATCATCTTCAAAGTGCCAGCAAACGCCTCAGGTAGAAGAGTAAACGTATTGGCCAACATGCTTGTATCCGAGTCAGATACAGTTAATGGATTTATGACGCTGCAATCAAAGAGCGTGTTTCAGATGATTTGGCTGTGGGACAGAAACCAGAGTCATCCAAGGTTTTAACTAGGAGCCATAAACATTAATTAGCCATGACGTGACTGACTGCTTGTAGACAGTTGTGAACTTCGGTTGCATTGTTTAAACATCATGACAGTTCAGGCCCATCATTACCATTTGATCATCAGAAATGAAAAAATACTGTTTGGATTCTGTATTTTTGTGTCCGTTTCAGATAAAGACCCCAAGAAGCCGGCTCTGAGAAAGGTTCAGCAGATCTGTTCAGTTCCTTTCCGATCCACTCTGTATCCGAGCTACTTCCACAGCTTCGGCATGACCGACAACTACATCGTGTTTGTGGAGCAACCCTTCAAACTGGACATAGTGAAACTGGCAACCGCCTACTTCAGAGGGGTCAACTGGGGGAGCTGCCTCAAATTTGATGAGAAAGACAGTGTAAGCCCCAATCCTGTGAGGTTTACTGAAACAGATTAGCATGAATGACTCTCTGCGTAGCTTCAAGGTTTGATAGACACTTTCCTCTTTAGTTCACAATGTTTTACTGAGGTAACTTCCATGTTTCAGACGTTCTTCCACGTCATCAACATAAAGACAGGAAAGGTGAAATCTCTTCGCTACTGCGCCGATGCTCTGGTGGTTTTCCATCACATCAACGCCTACGAGGATGACGACCACGTCGTGTTTGACATCATCGCCTACAGTGACAGCAACCTGTACGACATGTTCTACCTCCACAACATGACCAAAGAAACGGACAACTTCATTCAGAGCAACAAGGAGTTCTCGCCGCCGGTCTGCCAGAGATTCGTCCTGCCGCTGAACGTCCACAAGGTACAACCAGGCTGAGGTCACAGCCACAGAGTCTGTTCCAGTCCATGACCATCACCTGCATGTCCTGCAGGATTCCCCCAAAGGAACCAACTTGGTGACCCTGACGGACACGACAGCGCAGGCGGTGATGCAGGACGACGGATCGATCTACTGCAAACCCGACATCATCTTTAAAGGTTTGGTGTTTTTGATGTGGAGGAGAAACGATGCGATCCACTGGATCAAACGAGTCTGACTGCTCTGCAGGGATGGAGCTGCCGGGGATTAACTACAACTTCAACGCCAGGAAGTACCGCTACTTCTACGGCTCCAGGCTGGAGTGGTCCCCTCAACCCAACAAGGTACACCCAGAACTTCACCTCTTCTGTTCTACGTAGTCTGTACTTTTAACAATTAGTTATTTAGAATTTTATAAAAAAAAAAAAAAACACAAAAGACTTAACACCATAAAAAATATTACTAGTGTCCGGAAACAAGATGTATCGATATGCTGATGATGTGATCCTTATAACCAAAATATTTTGTTAGTTTTCTGAATTTACATACTTGAATTAAGAGATAAACATTCCAGTTATTGATTATTTGTGTGTATATAGTGAAAATGTTCCTGTATTTTGAATATGTTGCTCATTATGGTAAGATCTTATAAATGAGAAAATATTTCTAAGCATTACCAACAAATCAGAACGTCGTAGTAAAACAGCTGAAAGTAACTGGCTGAGCCTCCTAAACTCTCATCATCTGCTTGAAAACCTCCCACCAACAGATCGCGAAGGTCGACATCGTCACCAAGACGCACGTCGAGTGGCATCAGGAGAACTGCTACCCGTCAGAGCCGGTGTTCGTCGCCTCTCCGGGCGCGGAGGAGGAAGACGACGGTGAGAGATCACCCTAAAAACAATCGAAGGAGAATTTTTCTCTGGGTTTCTAATGGGTTTGTTTCTGCAGGAGTCATCCTGTCGTCCATCGTTTCCTCAGATCCAAACGTTTCTCCGTTCCTGCTCATCCTGAACGCCAAAACGTTTGAGGAGGTCGGCCGGGCCGCCATCCCGGTCCCGGTCCACATGGACCTTCACGGACTCTTCATTCCCGCCAAATCATAAAATATCAGCAAAACCTTTGGTTTTAAAGCAGATAGTTACTATTGAAATGAAAATGAATGGTTTTATTTTCCTTGTTTTTGGTTTGTGCCCAAATCTGACTGATTTTACTGGGATTTAGTCATAAAGCAACATCTGGAGTCGTATTTAAGTCCTGTGTTTTCTGCATAACATGAATATCTTGGATATTTTAAGATACATTAATTTATAAAACAGTATCTGAGATAATAAACTAAGTGATGAACTTCACCAGTTTGTACTGGGAACCATTAAGAGTCTGAACTGGACTTGAATGACCAAAACATCAGTACCTGATGGAGTCCTGTCATGATCATTTGCCACCAGCAGAGGGCGCTCCGCCAGATGATGTCACACGGCTTTTTCAGGAAAATACAAACAGGAGAGTTAAAAATTGTAATCATATTTTAGACCAAATGTCAGATATTCTGATTTCACTGAAAATAGTCAAACTTTCTCCACAGTACTTACATTTAATTCCACGTTTTCCAAAAGTGGATTTAATTTATATTTTCCTACTGATCCATAAATTTTTAACTGATCATCATTTGCTTTCCGTCGGCTGTTGACCTGAGGGAGGAAGGGGTGTTATACATTTAAACTAAAAACATTAGAGCACAGAAAATGTTTTAGATGTTTTTGTGGTTCCAGTTTGGGAATCAGAAACTGAACTGTAAGGAATACAGAATAAACTTCATTTAACAATCAAAACACAGAGAATTAAATCAACTGAAGTCAAAGAGGCGACAGGAAAAACAGATTCTACTGATTTGAGTTAATAAAATCAGGTTAAAGACATTTAATCTTTCTGCACAATTCATTATTTTTTCCAGCTAAATGTGGTGAACTGTTGTCATGTTGGAGTCAGAAGAGCCAAATGCATCAGAATGGAGGCCGACGTGACATAAAGACGAATAATTGAAAATATTTATAAAACCTGGACGACAGGAGAAAAACAAACCGACGCCTGGCAGACAGAAACCAGGCAGAACCAGAACCAGCATCTGTTTTTACTGTCGTCCAATAAAATGACAGAATACTAAATAACCAGCAAGAAATATCCTAATCACAGGTTATAAAAATGTTCCTGGATTATTATAAAGTATTTTGACTGAAATTAATCGTCGTTCTGCAGCTTTTATTAGACTCATGGGAATTTATTACATCAGCAGTTGCAGCAAAAACAGTTTAAAATCTTCTGTCCCTCCGCCTTCCAACATGGCCGCCAAGACAAACAGAGTCTGAGCCGCTCGCCGCCTCTGTCCGGAGCTCCAGGCTGCTGGGAAAGGGGGCGGAGCCTGGGGCAGGAAGTGGCGGCAGCGCATCAGAGGCCAAGAGGAAGATGATGATGATGATGAAGAACAGGCACGTTGGAGTGAGTCTAGGCTATCGCTGTCACACAGTGAGGAGCTGCTGCCCACAGAGACACGCCGCTCCGCTCCGTTCCGCCGCGCCGCCGCTCCAGCTGCAGGAAGCGTCTGATTGGTTGGCTGGCCGGTTGGTGTTTCTGTGGCTCCGCTCCGGTTGGTCCGGTCCGGTTCAGATGATCTCAAAGGTTTTCTTCAGCTCCATGATGAGCTGCCAGTCCGATTTCTGCATCTCGTCTCTGAACCAGTTCTTCAGGGCGTCGATGGACGCCCGCGTGATCTGCACCCACACACAGCAGCTGTTGTTATGGCAACAGAAACAAGAAGCCCCTCCTCCCCACAGGCGTGTCCTCACCTTGCTGACGATGATGTCAGTGGCTTCAAAATGGCGGCCGTACATCTTGGGCGACTCCCCGGGGATGGGCTCGATCTTCACGCAGATCTCCTGGCCTTTCTTCGCCGCGTCCACCGACTTGTGGTTCATCTCGATGCTGGTTACCACGCCGATCTCCACGAACTGCAACGCCCAGCGCCACGGTTACACGCCGCAAACAAACAAAACCGCGCCAACGGATACGGCGACGCCTCTCACCCCTTTGCTGGGCACGCAGAGCGGCGTCCCCTGCTTCAGAAGCCCCGCCTCCACCGACACGCCCATCACGATGGGATCTCTGGAGTTGAAGATGAACTGAGGAAGAACGCGGAGCTTCACCGGGAACACGGCGATGTGCCTGGGCAGAAACACCGTGAGCACGGGGCGTCAACCACACACGCTGCATTAAAGGTCAAAGGTTAATGGAGGCTGCAGACTATCAGACGCGCGTATCCATGTTCTGTCAATAAAACAAGGAGTCCAAATACAGACCTGCAGTCACCATGACAACAGGAAATAAATTGATAATTACAGTTTTTTGGGTTATTGTGATGAAATCATGACAACACTGCCCTCCTGTGGTTAGAACATGAACTGCAAGTCTGTATTTCTATCATCTGGAGCAGCTCAGACTGTCGGTCGGTGAGTTTTCCTACTTGAACTCTTCCTGTTTGGACTTCTTGTAGTCCTCTCTGTACTTGGTGAAGGCGTCAAACAGGTGGTAGATGATCTCAGCAGAGAAGATCCGGACGCCCAGACTGTCGGCCATCTCCTGGCTCTCCCTCTCCACCTTCACGTCAAACGCCAGGATGACAGCGTACCTGCGGAAGGACGAACGACTGGCCGTCAGACGGCGCCTGCAGACGGGTCAACGTACCAGCAGGGGGCGCTACGTACTGTGGGTCGTGCTCCAGCATGGTGGACGCCTTCATCACGTCCTTTTTATGCACCGGGCCGATGTTGATGCCTGCGTACTGGAAGAGAGGCGTGGTCAGCTGGCGGTGACTTCCTGTTGGGGGTGTTGGGGGCATTAGGGGGGGTTTACTCACCGGGACCTTGGAGGTCCGGAGGAACTCCAGCAGCGCCTCCAGGGAGCCCAGCGTGGACGCCTGGACGTACACGCCCTTCTCCTCCAGCTTGATGGAGCTCAGCGTCTGCTTCAGCTCCTTCACCAGCTCATCCTGACCAGACGTTAGCCGTTAGCGGTTAGCAGTTAGCCAGACTCAACTCAGAGGAAAACAACAACAATACCTTCAAGACGGGGACCTCGTCGTCCCTGTGGGCCACCAGCAGGGGGAGCCCTGCCAGCGTCTTCTCCAGGTCTTTACCCAGAATCTTCACACCCTGAGACGTCGACACTTCCTTGTGCTTCTCATACTGACTCTGGACAACAAGAACCAAACAACGAGATCAAATGATTCATGACATCACAGCCATGAGGGCAATTAGAATAGAATAGAATAGAATAGAATAGAATTCAACTTTATTGTTGTTGCACTGTCACAAGTACAAAGCAACTACAAGAAACATCAACATTTTAATCACTGAAACTGGATCCAAACCTCAATGAGTCCATAAACTAGAAACTACTTGATCACAATATTTGTTCCTAAAAACCATGTAATTCCAGTTTTGCAGAAAAGAACATTTAAAAAGAGAAAAACGGAAAAGAGAAACTTATTCCAGGTTTTGGGAGAAAGTAGAAAAAGTAAAAAAAACATTTCAATTGAATCAAAGTTGAGAAAATGATGATAAATCAGGTTGCAGTTTGTCTTGCTGACCTTGACCCTCAGCTTCTTGAGCGGCGGCGGCAGCAGCAGGCCCCGGATCTGCGTGACGATGGGCCCCTCCACCCCGGGGACGATGATGGTCTCTCCCTCGCGCAGGCGGCCGTTGATCAGGATGACGTCGATGGTGGTTCCCATGCCGGGCAGCGCCTTCACCTGGACACACACAGACACGCCGCCGTCATGACGATGATGGAGGCGGAGGGGGCGGGGCCAGGCGTCCGGCTCACCTCCATGACCTGCGCCCGCAGCTCGTCGCAGTGCGCCAGGCGGCGGGCCAGCATGCTCTGGGTGAGCTCCACCAGCAGGGCGATCAGGTTCCCCATGCCGTCCCCGCTGTGGGCCGACGTGGGAACCAGAGACACGAACGTCCGCGGGTCTTTGTTCTCGAAGAACAGCGCCGCGTTCAGACTCTGCACACAGACAGGAAGCAGTCAGTCTGGGAGGGACAGGAAGAAGAGCTGTGATTGGCTGATGGGAGCAGAGCTGTGATTGGCTGCTCATCACCTGCTGAGCAAACTCCACGATGATGGCCTTGGTCCTCTCGTCGAACTCGTCCTTGGTGTTCTTCTTCTGCTTCTTCAGCGTGGCGACCACGTCCGTATCAGGACTCTTCTTCCAGTCGTAGAGCCGGTCGATCTGATCAGAGCAACAGAGTCAGAGGAGGAGGAGGAGGAGGAGGAGGAGGAGGAGGAAGAGCAGGAGGAGGAAACCTTGTTGAGGGCCACGATGAAGGGACACTTCTTCTCCTTCAGCAGGTTGATGGACTCGATGGTCTGAGGCTCCAAGCCGTGCATGATGTCCACCACCAGAATGGCGATGTCACACAGAGAGCTGCCTCTGTTCCTCAGGTTACTGCAGGGACACAGAGACACTCAGGACACTGGGGACAGACAGACAGACAGGGGACAGGGACAGGCTGTACCTGAAGGACTCGTGTCCTGGGGTGTCGATGATCAGCATGCCAGGGATCCTGATGCTCTCCCTGTCAAACTACACACACAGAGAGCTCAAGAAGCTGCAAACCGTCACTGAATCCAGCAGAGAGTGAGAGGTCGTACATTTTTAACCATCTTGGTCTGCTCCTCGATGGTCTCTTTGGGGACGTTGGTGGCTCCGATCTGCTGGGTGATTCCTCCGGCCTCGCCGTCCTGGACGTGTGTGTGACGCAGCTGCACACAAAACACAAAAACCAAAAAACTAGAACAATAAAACCTCTAAAAATACAGAAAACCATTAAAACCAATAAAACTTCAGCCTGCGCCACCACCAGCAGGGGGCAGCAGCGTCACCTTGTCCAGGATCTTTGTCTTTCCCGTGTCCACGTGTCCCAGCACACACACCACTGGCGCGCGGAGCCGGTCCGGGTCCGTGTTCTTCAGGTTCTCCGCTCGCCGTTTCTGTTCCCAAAGATAGGCCAAACTCAGACGAGCTCTCACTACGCTCACTTTTCCCACAGTAAAATTCAAACACTTTCAAGGAAAGTTTTCAAACTTTTCTAGAACCAAAAAAAACACAAATTAACCAAAAAAGACGGTTTAAATTCACGATTATATCATGTAATTTATTACTGTTAATATTCTTGTGGTCGTATTCGACATTCTACTGCAGGGACAGAAAACTAAAAGATAATTGAAATGTCTCTCACACACCTCACTCATCTGAAGAAGTTAGAAATACATTTCTAAAAAGCATCACCAAGTTTTCTGGCATTTAGCAAATAGAAATAATTTTGTTGATTCTAACAAAAGTAAAAGAATAAAAGTTAATTCAACTTCAGGCAGATGGAAAACTATTCTGTATTATCTGTAAATATTTGGTTTGAACTGAAGATGTTTCCCATAATTAGGCTTTTAAAAACGTCATCACCAAACCGTGAAATGCCTCACAGGACCTCCAGCACCGTAGGAACACTGACTGCTGCTGCAGCTCACCTCTATCCTCTTCCTGGCTCGGTCATACAGCCGCTCCTCCTTCGTCCTGCCGTCATCATCGTCGCTCTCGCTGCTCTCCTCTTCGCTCACCGCTCTCCTCTTCCCGTGACTCACTGGCGCGCTTTCTTTCTCCGCCTCGGCTTCTTCCTCGCTTTCCTCCTCGTCTTCCTCTTCTTCATCCTCCTCGTCATCCTCCTCATCTTCCTCTTCCTCCTCCTCCTCGCTGGCAGCCGGCTGACGAGGAGCCGGCGTCTCCTCTTTGACCTCGATGTGAACTTTCTTCAGCTCTGGTGAACAATCGCCACACGGGTAAAAAAAACTGAACCAAGATGGCCGA